TGTTTATTTGAGAGAGAGAGAGAGAGAAATGAGAGAGAGAGCAGACAGAACGGGAGGCAGAGGGAGAGGGAGAAGCAGACTCCCTGCCGAGCAGGGAGCCCGATGTGGGGCTTGATCCCAGGACCCTGGGACCATGACCTGAGCCGAAGGCAAACGCTCAACGACCGAGCCACCCAGGCACCCCAATATGTTATTTTCTTAAAAGATAGTCTTGAAGTTTCTTTTCTGGGGGCTAGATTAATTGGATTTATTTGTTAATTTCTTTTGGAGCTAATGTAGCTTCAAAGTGGTCTGCCCTTTTCAAGCCGTGATACTCAAAATCTTGATTTCTCCTCTTCATGCATTATTCCCAGAGCTACTGAATACCAGGGTGAAATTCTCTTTTTAACAAACAAAAACATCCTTAGTCTTGAATTGAGACCTCTTCCTCACCATCCTCACCTCCATGTGACCGGGGCTCTCCTCTTGCATTTGCAAACTGAGAAAACGTGGAGGGAGGGGACTGCCACTAACAAGACATATTTGGAAACCACCAACCTAGCTTAGACTCACAATTCTGTAACCTTTACATTCTCTTAGCGCTCTCTTGTGAGCCCGGGGCATGAGCCTTCCACCAGGGAAGGCATTAACTTCTCCCTTTTACATGTTGCCTGCAGATTCCATCTTATCCTTCTTCCATAATGGGGGTGTGTCCTTTGTTACCCTGGGACCATGGGCAAAAATATTTGAAGAAGAGATGAATCATGATTTGCTGGATGTTAGCTTTGCAATGGTCTCCTTCATCAATCTGTAAATTAGTCATGACTCTATCTGTCACACCCTTACAGGTACAATTTACACAAAATGAATCATTTCAAAATATATCCTATATGTAATTTCTATTTAGAATGTAGATGTTATTTCCAAGGAGCATCAGTTTTGTAAGAAGGTTGGTTTAGCTACAATTTGCCTGCTTTGTAAAGGTCTGGAATGGATTTTTGATTATTCTTTTTTTCTTACATTTTAATGTTAGGTATACAGAAAGAAAATGACATAAAACACGTAGAAGTTAAAGAATAATTTTTCATTGAACACTCATATGATGCCACCTTGCTCATAACCCAACTCAATTTGTCTTCTCCTGGATCCCACCGTTATCCTGACTTTAGTTACTATTATTTGCTTTCCTTTTGTCATTTTTTTCCATTTGTGTGTAGCCAGGATAAGGATTGTTGGGTAGGGAAGTATGAGTAGCTTCAACTTTATTAGAAAATGCTAAACACTTTTCATAGTGATTGTACCAGTTTGCACTCCTGCCACAATTATGTGAGCATTCCATTGCTCCACATCTACACCAACACTCAGTTTTGTCAGACTTTCAATATTCCTGATTACTAATGAGAATGAGCACCTTTGAATATAATTGTTACTTGTATGTTGTCTTTTTAGAGTGCTTTTGACATTTTTTGTTTTCTGTAGTTTTGTAGGAGTACACACGCGCACGCACACACCCACGATCTTTAATTATTTAAGTGTATTTTCCCAACCCTTGGCCTTGTCTTTTCCCTCTTTTTATGACATATTGTGAAAAGAAGTTCTTTATTTTAATGTAGTCAAATTTATCCATTTTCTTTCCTTTATATGTAATGCTTTTTGAATCTTAAGTTTTTCCCAACCTGAAATTATAAAAATATTAGGCTGTACTGTTGTACTAAACATTTGTAGTTTTGCTTTTTACAGTTTAGCTTTTAATCAACTTAAAATAGATTATTATCTGGTATAAAGTTGGGAGCCAATTTTCGTTTTTCCATATACATATCCACATTTCCCAATCAATAATTACTAGAAAAACCATTCTTAGTATAAACAAAGATCTTCCATGATACTTCCGTCCTATAAAGAGACCATGAATTTGCCGTGTCTTTCTGAGTCCTTTATTATCTTATCCCTCTTTCAGCACTATGCTATTTTAATTATGTTGCGATAATTAAAAATAATTCTTATTAAATGGTAAGGCAAGTTATCTTTATATTTTCAAGTGTCTGGGCTCTTATTGGCTTTTTGCACATCTGTGTTTCAATATATATTTTAGAATGAACTCCTTGTTCAAAAAAACCCTCCAAACTCTTAGAAATGCTTAACAGGATTGCACTGAATCAATGGATCAACTTGGGAAAATTAACATCTTTACAATATTGAGTCTTATCAAAAACATGGCTTACTCTCTGTCCCTTTCTTGGTAATACATTTCAACATAATGTTTCTGTTTTCTCATGAGGTCTTAAAAATTTATAAGGTTTTTCTAAGTACTTTGTGTTTTTAGGGGTACTGTGAATGTTAAGTTTTCTTTTCGAAACTGTTGCTGGCATCAGGATTTTTGTACACTGATTTTATATCCAGCAACTTTACTAAACTATATATTAATTTCAATATGTTATCTGCAGGCAGTCTTTTGAATTTTTCTAAATACATGTTCATAGTGAATAACAGCTTAATTTTTTCCTTTATTTTTATATATAAATGTGTGTGTGCATGTGTGTGCACCCATGTTTTCTTTTTTCTCATCCTATTGCATCCACTAGTACCCTTAGGAAAATAATGAATAGAAATAGTAGTAACAGGTATTCTTGAGTTAGACTGAGTCTCCTAGGGAAAACATTTAAAAGTAAAACATTTGATGTAGATTTTTAAGAAATTAACATACTATAAAATTAACTTTTTCTTTTTGGTGCACAGTTCCATGAGTTTTAACTCATGTGCAAATTCATGTACCCACCACAGTAATCAGGATAGAGAAATGTTACATCACCCCCAAAATTCCTTTGTGTGCTGCCCCTTCGTAATCAAATACTAGCACCCCCCCAACCTTGGCTACTGCTGCTGTGATCTGTTTTTATCCCTATGGTTTTGTCTTTTCCGGAATGCCATATAAATGGAATTAAACAATAATTAGACTTCTGAGACTTTTTCACTCTGCATAATATCTTGAGATTGATATATGTTGATGTATGTATCAATAGTAATTCCTTAGTATTGCTGAGTAGTATTCCATTCTATAGCTATACCACAATTTGTTTATACATTCACTCTTGAATTACATATATTTTCTAGCTCTGTAATTTATTCATCTTTCTTAAATAAGAAAGCTGCTTAACTTCTTTATGCATTGACTTCTTCCTCATTAATGGGGATAATGTACCTACATGACAGGGTTATTGTGGGAGGAAAAATGAGTCAATACATATGAAGTACTTAAATAATGCCTGATATATAGTAAATGCTCAATAAATACAATCCATATCGTTGTCTCCAAAATTAGTAAAGATTTTGAGGTAGAAAAAAACTTGACAAGTTCAAGGAATAGCAAGAAAGCCAGAGTGCCTGGTCTGTAACAAACAAGGCAAAGACAGGGAGAGGCATGTAGGTGCCATGTTGTGAAGGTGTTATGGGCTGCAGTAAGAGTTGGGATTTCACTCTAAGTGCATTGGAAAGCCTGGGATAAGACATAATGTGGTTCATGCCTTTACTAGATTGTTCAGACTGCTGTAGAAGAATGGGTATGGTGGTGGTGGTAAGAGTCAAAGCAGGCAACCTTTCTAGGTTATTGCAGAGGTCGAGAAGACTGTGCTGGCTTGGACCATAGTGGTGGTTGGTGAGTGTGGGGATGGTGAGAAGTGGTTTGATTCAAAGTATGGTTTGGATGTGAAAATTCACAGAACTTGCTGACAGATTCATAGCTCAATGTAACACATTCCCCATAAGAACAGCAGTGTGACCATGTATAATAACAGCAACACTCCTGTCCTGTTGTGGCTTTACCAAAGATTTCCCTCAACCAATTTTGAATTGGCACCTAAATTTTCATGCCTGATTTCTGAAATCCACTTGAAGAAATAGTCTATCCTTTCATATATTTTTTATTTTTTTATTTTTTAAGATTTTATTTATTTATTTATTTGACAGAGAGAGAGAGAGACAGCTAGAGAGGGAACACAAGCAGGGGGAGTGGGAGAGGGAGAAGCAGGCTTCCCGCGGAGCAGGGAGCCCGATGTGGGATTTGATCCCAGGACCCTGGGATCATGACCTGAGCCGAAGGCAGACGCTTAACCGACTGAGCCCCCCAGGCACGCCATATCCTTTCATATATTTTTTAAATGACATCAAGCTGCTTCTTTAGTACTCATACTCACAACCCCAAACACATTGTTAAGGTAACAACTTATCCCACAAAAATGTTTTTCCATAGCATTTTGCTTTGTGCTCCTCCAGTCTGTATAGTTCTATGACCCCACATACTTAGTCGTCCTGCTGGAAATAAAGTTGTCTGAGCCGCTTCATGCTTAGCCAGTGGGCTGGTAGTTTTAGTTGATGGCTGGAGTTCTTGTATACAGTTGGGACTTTTTGTTGGAATAAACATTATTAGGCCCAGGGTAAAATTGGATCAGAAATTTATTTTTGTCCTCCTTTCAACCTCAACTCACCCTAGATTATCTCATCCAAATGACAAATGGTTTTGACTTTCTGAAGCGATCTAAAGATTAAAGTCAGCCCTGGGTACTTGCTTAGCCTTGCATTCAAATGGAGATTTTTTTTTTGAGCAGTTAAAAATAGAGTTCTCTGATCTCACATACAAAGTTTTATTTCCTGTGTGTCTGCTCTTAACACGTCTGTGTTTGTTCTCAGTGCTGCCTGAGCTTCCAACTCCTCCTTAAAGACAAACACCTGACCCAGTCTTTATCTGGAACACTCATCATGCTTTTTTTAACCCTATCCTCTCTGCTTAATTTGGGGCCTCTCATAATTCGGGGTTTGCCAAATGGAAGGAAATTTCCCTTCTATCCTGAGCACCTTGTCCTATCTCGTCTCAATTTTCAACAACTCTTGTCAGGTTAATGTCAAACTGTGGTGTTTATTGACTTAGTTTATTTGCAGGAGGGACTCTGGCCTCTTGGAGATGCTCACTTGAATTTTGTGCATAATTTTGTGCTTTTTTGTAATCGGCTTCTTTTGTGATCTTACAGAATACCAAGCTGCTATTTTACACTTGAAGAGGGAACACAAAGAAGAAATTGAAAACCTACAGGTATATCTCTTTGATTCTACTGAACTGGTTATTGAGACTGCTACTTCGTTTTCTCATGTGCCGAAGTAAATATTCCCCTTTTGTTGCCATATTTGCTTAGACAGCATCTGCAGCTGGTACCTGCCAGCAGGCACTGCGTTTATCCTGGGGAGGGAAAACTTGCACTCCATTTTTACTATAATTCAATTCCTATTTTTAAGAAATGCAAGTGCCTTTGACTGGGAAAATGATATGCTTGGAGAAAACATTGGTTTTATTTGAAAAGCAGGAAACAAGAGAGAGTATTTAGACTTATACTCTTTGTAAGAAGTCTTTAAAAACCTATTTTTCCTATGCACACTGTAAACTATTTTGTTTGGCTTACTCCCATTCATGTATTTGTATCCGTCCATCTCAGGACATCCCTGAAATATGATGTCATGCAGATCAAGGCACTTAGGGAAGTGGTCCTGGTAGGAGCCAGAGTTGTGCTGAGCCATCCATTCTCTATCCCCAGGGAGTGCTTGGAAATTGCTGACTTGATCCCCGAAAGACTGAGGGATTATTTACTTCCTCCCACTATCTAATTGTCCTTCCCTTAATGTTTGGTCTTTGCTTGTAGTGCCTATGACAGAAAGTTGTAGAGTTCTAATTTCAGATAACTAAGTATTGAATCGAGCACTGATTCTGGTTTCCTGATGGCTGGGTTGACCCATACCTTAGAGGACAAGAGCGAAATTTAAATAAAACTTGGTGTTTGTTTGGTGCTAACTCATTACTTGCTAATTTAATGAATTTGTGGATCGAATATTCTTCTTTCCAATAAGTGATAATGTGCTTTTTAACATAACTGAGACACTGTATTGCATTATAGGTCAAGCCATTGCAAATAGCAAAAAAGATTTTTAAATAGGTTAGGTGGTATATAAATTCAGCTTGTTTTAAGCAGTTTGGAAGGGGGAATGAGTCCATTTCACAAAGAAACAAACAACCCAAACTGGAAAAGTACCTCTGTCTCCTAGGGGGAAAAGAGAGTTGGAGGCCCTTAGGTCTTTTGTTGCAAAATGCTCTACAGAGACCTCTCTTCTTTGTTCTGGTGTGCGAAAGATTCTCAGCTGTCTCAGAGGAAGTGAAATGGGGATTAATTTAAGAAACAGATTGCTAAAGAGGGTAGGCACAGAAGTGATTCTGTGAGCAGAAGTTTTGTGTAAGAGCTCAGTTGTAAGTTGACATTGGCTTCTCCGGGTTTTAGAGCAGCCCTGTGAGGCTTTGATAGCTAAATAATATTCATGGTAACCGCAGGTTATTACTGTTTTTGAGTTCTTACTTTGTGCTGGGCATTGTTCCAAGTATATTACATATAGTATCTTGTGTCATCTCCACAAAAGTCCAATGATCTTATATCTCAAACTAAGGAAAGGTTGGAGAAGGAAAAGAAGAGTAAATGGAAGGAGAGAAAGTATATTGCAATCATGATCTCCAGTTAAAATAAAAGTTAAATCAAGATTTGATTGATAATAATAAAGGTGAAAAAGTGTTCCTAATTGTATCTAGTTTTCTTTGTCTGTGAAAGGATTATCCGTTCTCTGGATGCTATTAGTAAACTTAATTTCTTTTTGTATCATATTTATGATTCGTATAAAATTGCTGAAACCCTGTGGCCATGACACACTCCTGCCATCAGGTTGGGGGCGGTGTACCCAATCCATACACTTACCTATACTTTGGAACTATTTCCAGCAATCACAGGCTGACAACCCTCAGTAGGAAACTGGCAACGCTTATCCCTGATCTGACCTAGAGAAGTGTTTTTGGGCAAACACAGCATTTTAAAGATTGAATTAGGAATACACATTTTAAAAATATGGAGGAGTTTCTAAAAAAAAAATTAGAAAATCTGGCAACAGTGGGCTTATTTTCCTGACTGCAACCAGCTGGGGTTCAGTAAGCAGGTGTCTACTTCAACTGGGATATGTGTTCTCCAGTTTGCCACTGTCCCCACTCTGGGCCATTTCCTCTACCTGGCCCCTTTCTGCTTTAATTAACCCCTATTCTCTGGGAGTTGAAAATAACTAGATAGGCAGCAATACCAACCAGTCAGAACAGATACAGTTCATAAAACAGGCGGTGACCCAGCCTGGCTGTGCTTGTGTGTGCTCACTGAACACCATCTCCGCTTGTTTTATTCCGCAAAGAAACAGCTACAGCTGTTGTCACAGGACTAGTAGAAGACAGTGGGTGACAGAGCTGTTATTTTGATGTTCATTTCCTTATATGTAATTTCCACTGGCAGCCCTCATTGTCCATTAGGTTTCCTTTCTCCACCTACATGTCATGGAGAAGTCGGATGTATTTCAGGACTTCTTCAGCATGCCGTTTTAGAATAAAAAGGATTTCATGCTTAACATTCACAGGAAAAGTGATTCATTCTGTCACTATATACAAGAGTTGATATGTATCACTGTTAGTTTTTTTAGTTTGTTTTCACAGACTTTAAAGAAATTGCATGATTTAATAAACAGAGAACCTAAAATCAGCAATTTTTTTAAGATTTATTTATTTATTTGAGAGAGAATGAGAGTGAGCATGAGCAGGAGAGGCAGAGGGAGAGGAAGAGAGAATCTCAAGCACACTCCATGCTCAGCATGGAGCCCGACATGGGGCTCAATCCCATAACACTTGAGAGCAGGACTTAAGCCAGAACCAAGAATTGGTCACTCAACTGACTGCACCACCCAGGCGCCCCAGCAGTCTATTGTTTTGGGGTATAGATTTGTAGAGAAGTCACTTAATTATTCAGTTTCTCCACCAGCAAAATGGAAACTTTACCATCTAAAATGATTTGAAGTTGACCTTTCTAGCCCAGAGTCCCAAGGCTAGTAAGTGGGGGGAGTTTGGAGTTTGTAATCTCGTGTCTGCTCTGCAGTCAGTATGCATGGAGTGCTGCACTATAGAAAGGCCCCAGGGCTTAGTCCTAGAACTGGCTTTTTAAAATGTGTAGCAGCTCACATGCATATTCCCTTATATTCAACAACGAAGATTTATTGATGCTTTGAATGAAAACCATTCTCAGCATCCATGTTTAGACACCTTCTACATAAACAGAGCATTTGGCTGACTCCGATCTCCAGTAGGAGAGTAGTGGCAGATCAAACATTTTTTATGACTTCGCTATTTTATGTCATTTATAATATAACCACAGCAAATTCTTCAATTTTGTCCAAGGGTGCCCTTCATTTAGCAAACTCTACTTTGAGGGTTTATGATCACTTCATGACACTCAGCATCATCTGGTTCATTTTTCATTTTTGGATAGTTCTGTGTTACTGACTTCATTTTTAAAAAGACAACACCTTACCTTTACAGGTTCTCACTTACCTGAGAAATTTTTGCCTGGGTTTGCCATTACCCAAGTTCATGACTATTGGGTAGAAATGTATTTCAGACCTGCCCTTTTAAAGCACATGATAAAACTAATTCTCCCATGGTACAAATAAAGAGTTACTTCTCTGAGATTCCTAGGATCAAGATTTTTTCTGAAGATTGTTCTATGTTGATTCATATAATCTTTTTTTTTTTTTTGCATTTCAAATATTTAAAGGTTTTTGGTTTTTTTCCTTCATTTTTTTATTATGTTATGTTAATCACCATACATTGCATCATTAGTTTTAATGTAGTGTTCCATGATTCATTGTTTGCATATAACACCCGGTGCTCCATGCAGTACGTGCCCTCTTTAATACCCATCACCGGGCTAACCCATCCCCCCACTCCCCTCCCCTCTAGAACCCTCAGTTTGTTTCTCAGAGTCCATAGTCTCTCATGGTTTGTCTCCCTCTCCAATTTCCCCCCCTTCATTCTTCCCTTCCTGCTATCTTCTTCTTCTTTTTTTTTTTTTAACATATAATGTATTATTTGTTTCAGAGGTACAGGTCCCTTGATACAACAGACGTATGACAATTCACAGTGCTCGCCATAGCACATACCCTCCCCGGTGTCTATCACCCAGCCACCCCATCCCTCCCATCCCCCACCACTCCAGCAACCCTCAGTTTGTTTCCTGAGATTAAGAATTCCTCATATCAGTGAGGTCATATGATACATGTCTTTCTCTGATTGACTTATTTCGCTCAGCATAATACCCTCCAGTTCTATCCATGTCATTGCAAATGGCAAGATTTCATTCCTTTTGATGGTTGCATAATATTCCATGGTATATCTATACCACATCTTCTTTATCCATTCATCTGTCGATGGACATCTTGGCTCTTTCCATAGTTTGCCTATTGTGGACATTGCTGCTATAAACATCAGGGTGCACATACCCCTGTGGATTCCTACATTTGTATTTTTGGGGTAAATACCCAGTAGTGCAATTGCTGGATCATATGGTAGCTCTATTTTCAACTTTTTGAGGAACCTCCATACTGTTTTCCAGAGTGGCTGCACCAGCTTGCATTCCCACCAACAATGTAGGAGGGTTCCCCTTTCTCCGCATCCCCGCCAACATCTGTCGTTTCCTGACTTGTTAATTTTAGCCATTCTGACTGGTGTGAGGTGGTATCTCATTGAGGTTTTGATTTGGATTTCCCTGATTTTGAGCAATGTTGAGCACTTTTTCACGTGTCTGTTGGCCATTTGGATGTCTTCTTTGGAAAAATGTCTGTTCATGTCTTCTGCCCATTTCTTGATTGGATCATTTGTTCTTTGGGTGTTGAGTTTAAGTTCTTTATAGATTTTGGATACTAGCCTTTATCTGATATGTCATTTGCAAATATCTTCTTCCATTCTGTCGGTTGTCTTTTGGTTTTGTGGACTGTTTCTTTTGCTGTGCAAAAGCTTTTTATCTTGATGAAGTCCCAATAGTTCATTTTTGCCCTTGCTTCCCTTGCCTTTGGTGATGTTTCTAGGAAGAAGTTGCTGCAGCTGAGGTTGAAGAGGTTGCTGCCTGTGTTCTCCTTTAGGATTTTGAGGGACTCCTGTCTCACGTTTAGGTCTTTCAACCATTTTGAGTCTATTTT